AACATCACTGATCAATTTTGTATCTCAGCGATTTCGGCCTCACGGGTTGGCCCCGAGGCCTCCTGGACCGCCCAAGAGTCCCCCGAGAGAGCGCCGGGACGATCCCTTAGGGCCGTCCTAGGACATGTGAGCATTGCGGACTCAGTCACGCGTTTTTGGCCTCAGGAAATGTCACGACCCAAGCTCCAGAAGCGGGCGTTCCGGTTCCCTTACAGATGTTTGTTGTAATTTTCAGTGTTGAGGACTCTCCGCGTCTTGCGGACACTCCGCTCAGTGTCCATGCCCTTTCCCTCCCTTCCCGGCACCTCTTCGGAACGGCAACGCGCCGGGGAGCTCGTCGACTCCGGCCTTCCTTTCCCGTCCACGCCCCGCTCAAACGGGATTATGGACCCCCAGGAATGGGGAAAGGTGGACGGGGGACGACGAGTCATCTCACACGCCTTCTCACCCCCTGACACGCGGAGGTAGGCGGGCCTCCTGCTTCGTGGCCGACACTGCACATCATGAGCCCGTTTTGCGTGGTGACTGCTGCCTGCAAGAGTCTCAGCCGCCACGCGGGGGCGGATAGTTTTGCAAGAGTCGCGCGTCTTCGTGAGCAGACAGTAGGGCGATTTCGGCATTCGTTAGCAGTATGCTGAGCACCGCCGAGCCAATCAAGTTCATGCAGTTCCCGGTTTATCTTCTCTGCGGGGAGATGTGTTCTGCTCTGTCGTGAATCCAGGCTGGATGTCCAGGCGAGACCAATCGACCTCATTGCAAGACGGAGTGCACCAAGTGCTATCTGCATCGCGCGGGACCTTCCCAACATTGGCAACGCTTCGGCAATCGACCCAGAACCGTTCAACGAGCTGTCACGTACATTCTGTGAAGAGATACACTCTGGACGGCCAGGATTTCCAATGCGACCGCGAGGCTAGACTTTTCGCCATTCTATGCGATTCTAAGCCTGTTGTCGAGATTATGATGAGGAGGACTGAGACGTGGCGGAAGAGGAGGATGAGGAGGCGTTGCAGGATGGTGAGGAGCAGGAAGAGGAGGAAGGGAAGTAGAGTAGGAAGAGGTCGAGGGAGGTGTTGAGGAGGTGGAAGCAGGAGGAATGCGCGGGCGGAGGTTGCAGCGGGGAAGGAGGACGGCGGGGGAGCGAGGAGCTGGTCGACAAGATCGACCACGAGAAGTGGCGGACCCTCGTGTACGTCCAGTCCTTCCTGCACAGCGTCGTGCAGGAGGGGCCCTGCTTGCCTTCGCCTGGGGTGCTCGGGCTCGCCACCTATCGCGATGACCGCGCTCGGGTGTTCGTCCCCTCGCCTTCTGCTGCTGCCGCTATCCCTCGTCGTTCTCCTTCGCCTAGCCCTTTTCCTCCCTCCTTATTCTTTTCACCTCATCCTCCTCTCGTCACCTCCCCTGCGGCCTTTCACTTCCTCTACCCCCTTTCTCCTCCTCTCACTCATCTTCCTCATCCTCTTCCTCATCATCGGCGCTGTCGTCTTCCGCCTCGTTCTCCTGACTCTCTGGCTTTCCCCCTGGTCAACGTGTCACTGCGGACCTGTCAGCGCAGCCCATAGCCTTCGAACCGCTTCCGTTGCTGCTTGACAGTCTGCCCGCTCTCTGACACTGCCCTCCAGAGACTGACCCGCAAGGCGCTCGGCGACGATGGCCTCAATCCATGATGTGCGTGAGCGTAGGATGATGATGATGATGATGATGATGATGATGATGATGCTGATGATGATGATGATGATGATGATGCTGATGATGATGATGATGATGATGATGATGATGGTCATGCTGATGACGATGATGATGTTGATGATGATGCTGATGCTGATGATGATGATGATGATGTTGATGTTGATGATGCTGATGTTGATGATGATGATGATGATGTTGATGATGATGAATATGATGATGATGATGATGCTGATGCTGATGATGATGCTGATGCTGTTGATGAAGATGGTGGTGGTGGTGATGATGATGATGAATATGATGGACGACGACGATGACGACGACGACGATGATGATGATGATGATGATGATGATGATGATGATGATGATGATGATGATGATGATGCTGATGATGACTGGTGATGATAATGATGATGGCTGATGATGATGACGATGATGATGATGATGATGATGATGATGATGATGATGATGATGATGATGATGATGATGATGATGATGGTGATGATGATGATGATGATGATGATGATGATGATGATGATGATGATGACTGGTGATGATAATGATGATGGCTGATGATGATGAGGATGAGGATGAGGATGAGGATGAGGATGAGGATGAGGAGAAGGAGGAGGAGGAGGAGGAGGAGGAGGAGGAGGAGGAGGATGATCAGGAGGAGGAGGAGGAGGAGAAGGAGGAAGGGGAGGAAGAGTAGGAGGAGGAGGAGGAGGAGGAGGAGGAGGAGGAGGAAGAGGGGGAGGAGGTGGAGCTTGCGCCAGCCATCATCTCTGCTCTGAAGCCTCTCAGCCCCTGAGGAGGTGGGGCACTGGTGGAGACCGCGCGGGGGATTTCAACGCCAAGTGTCATTGGGAATTCCGGGCGCTGGAGAGGGCAAGACGTAGGAAGTGCGGACGTAGGAAGGGCTCGAGCGACTCCTCTCCTTCCCCGCCTTCCTGCTCGGGGCGGCGGGCCGCGCCCTGCAGCGCCGGGCAGCTTTTCCAACTGCTGCCCTCCTCGCTTTCGCTGCCTCTGGCTTTCTCTTCGTGATCCTGGGGTATTGGAAGCGCGCCTGTGGTTGGGGGGTGAACCCGCAGGAACGCCGCAAGTTCGGCCCTATCGGCTGGTGCATTCCGTACGAGTACAACAACTCCGACCTGGATGCTTGCCTGCTGTTCCTCGAAAAGCACATGTCCAGGGGCGGAGTTGTATACCTGATTCTGCCCTGCCCTGGCTTGGGGGAAGCAGGGCTGTCCGAGCGCGCCCAAGGTTACAGAACAGTCGGGAGAGAGGCCGTGGAGCGGGTTGTACTGTGCCAATCCCTTGCGTGTGCGCACACTCGGCTGGCAATCGGGAAGAAGTTGCAGTCTCAGAGATTCGAAGCTGTTCTTAACATGCCGTACGCCGTTCATACGGCTTGGATCATGTTGCACGGCGATCGGATTTCGCTTGAGGACCCGCGTGGGACTTCGAGATGTCCGTTCGGAGGTGTCTACTAGCACTCATGGGGGTCTCAGAGCATGTGATGATGAGGCTGATTACGATGATGATGATGATGATGATGATGATGATGATGATGATGATGATGATGATGCTGATGCTGATGCTGATGCTGATGCTGATGCTGATGCTGATGCTGATGCTGATGCTGATGCTGATGCTACTTCTGATGATGATGCTGATAACGATGACGTTGACGATGCTACAGGGTCCGGCGTGAATAAGGAACACTTACTTTTCAAAAGGGGCTCGGTCGTTTCTTTTGTTTGTATGCGTTCCGCTACCTTTTTGGCGGCGAGCCCCCCTTGTGTTCCCTCGGACTTCTTAGACTTACTTGGACAACAGGGGGCTTCGTTCCTAACTTATCGTTCCTTAGGTCAGGCCGAATGCTGTATATCTGATGATGATGATGTCGATGATGATGATGCTGATGCTGATGATGATGATGGTGATGATGATGATCACGACGACGATGATGAGGATGATGATGCTGATGATGATGATGATGCTGATGATAATGATGATGCCGATGCCGATGACTACGACGACTAACATGACGACGGCGACGACGACGACGACGATTCTGATCATGATGGTGGTGGTGGTGGTGGTGCTGGTGACTATTATGCTGCTGCTGATGATGGTGGTGGTAATGCTGGTGATGCTGCTGATGGTGATGATGAGGATGGTGGTGATGCTGCTGATGATGATGGTGTTGACGATGATCACAATGATGATGATGGTTATGATGATGCTGATGATGATGCTGCTGATGACACTGCTGATGATGCTGATGCGGATGCGGATGAGGATTATGATGATGCTGCTACTGAGGATGACAATGCAGATTCTGGCGATGATGATGATGATGACGACGATGCTGATACTGATGGCGAGTACGATGATGCTGATACTACTGCTGCTGATGATGATGATGAGGTCAATATGATGGTGCTGGTGATGATTGTGATGAGGATGATGCTGGTGATGCTGATGCTGATGCTGCTGCTGCTGCTGCTGATGACGACGACGATGTTGGTGATGCTGATGGTGGTGTTGATGATGATGCTTATGTGAGTATGATGATGCTGATCATGATGATGATGCTGGTGATGGTGATGCTGTTGATACTGCTGATGATGGATGATGAGGATGCGGATGATGATTATGATGATGCTGTGATTGATGATGGTAATGCTGATGATGACGATGATGACGACGATGATGGTAATGATGTCGATTGCACTGATGCTGATGCTACTGCTGATGATGACGACGAGATGCTGCTGCTGACGATGGTGATGATGGTTAATATGATGGCGCTGGTGTTGATTGTGATGCTGATGATGCTGATGATGCTGATGCTGATGCTGCTGCTGCTGCCGCTGACGACGACGATGGTGATGATGGTGGTTGTGATGATGCTGATGCTGATGTGATTATGATTATACCGATCATGATGGTGCTGATGATGCTGATGATGATGATGCTGATGATGCTGATGATGAGGAGGATGATGGTGATGGTGATTATGATGTTGCTCGCGGAGAGAAGGATGAGGAGACCTCTTGGGGCATGCTTTGGATGCTCCATGGCCATACAGGGCCGTCTTGTTCTCTTGGTGCATGTGGGAAGTCGTCGTGAACGATGTTGTGTATACCCTCCTTCCACCTCGGAGGTCATCTTAGGCTTTCTTGGGCCGTCTTGGAGCCATCTTGGGCGTTCTAACTGGTCGCGGGGCGTCCCTGTCAGACCCAGGGGAGGGGACATGGAGAGGGGCAAACCCTCCCCGAAGGGCTCCTGGTACCTTGAATGGGTGTTTCTGATGCTTCAGCCGAGCTGGCTAAAGCACCAAGGGATCGGGCACTTTGTTATGCACGTGTCCTGGCAACTCTTTTCTTCCCCAATCTTACACTATTCAGCTCCACTCCATTCTGATCCATCTTTCCGAACCTTACCCCGCCTACCCTTCTTGACCTTAGCCAAATGGTTTGCGACGTTCCGCGGGCCCCCAGAGACGACGTCCATGGGTTTGGCCTTTGTGCCTCTTTGGGATCGTTCGATGGGCCTATTGGTGCCTCTGTTGGGCCTCTTGCGCGCCTCTTGGAGCCTCTACGGGGTCTGCTGGGTGCCTGCTGACGGTCTCGGGGGCCCTCGTGGATCGGAAGGCCCGGGAATGGAAATTTGAGTTTTCCCTCCTGGGCCCCTCTCGCGACGCTTTTGGGCCCTCCGCGGCCGTGTTGGGCGCCTCCAGGGCCGTTCTTTGGCTCTCTTGGGCCGTCTTGGGGCCCTCTTGGGGACCTCTTGGGCCTTCCTGGAGCGATCTTGGGGGCCTCTTGAGCCGCTGTGGACGCTGATGACACCAAACGGGTGGACATGCTAAACATGCACGTCTTCGTTTAGAAATGGGGCGATTTTAGGGCCTCTTGGGGCCCTTTCGGGGGTCCTCTTGGAGCTCTCTGGGGACGTCTTGGAGGCTTATTGTGCTTCTTGAGCGTGTTGGAGTCCAGGTTGAGCAAGCTTAGATAGAATCTGAGGCATCGTGGAGAGACCACGGAGTATAGACGTGGAGGCTCCTGAGGTCCCAGGGGTGCGTTGGCGAGCTCGTCCCCTCCCCCCTCCTTCCCTGGGCCACCCCCCGGCCTCCCCCCCATCTCTAATTCGGATTTCAAACCCTAGAGGGGAGGGGGAAAAGAGGGAGGGGACAGCCAGTCATCTTACACGCCTTTGCACCCCCAGTAAGCGGGGTCGGCGGATTCTACAGTATCTACCCTTCCGTACCGAACCCCGCCTACCGTTACACTTTCCCACGTTATTCTGCCCTACCTGAAATCTTCCCCAATTCACCCCACCCCACTCCACTCTACTCCATTCTTCCCTACTCCTACTGTCATCGATTGCGCTATGCTCACATTTCCTCTCTTCTCCTTCTTATTCTACTGCAGACATTCTGACACTTCCTCTCTCCTGTACTCCTGACTGGACTGGACCCGCTGTTCCATCCAGCCTGGGCATGCTCCAGTGCGTGTTTCCGACAGTTTCTCGACCCAACGTGCAATTCGATCCGCATCCCGAGTTGGCCTGGGCGTTTCCGACGTGAACAAACCGCACTATGTCCCCCTCCAATTTGAATTTCGGACCAAGCGCGCTCTGGCGTCTGGAACCAGTTGGCTCTTTCTTCCACAAGGGCATTACGATACGTGATGCATGTGTATGTATATATGTGCACATACACAAACAGATCTACACATGAACATATATAGTTTCTGTAGGACAGCGGCCTGCCTTTAGTTTGCACAGCATGATCAGACCAGACACTGCTATCATCGCCGCGTGCTCATCCCTGTCTCGAAAAGGGCAGCAGCTTGGAGTACCAGTTGCGTTGCCCAGGCCTTATGACGTTGCGGCTTACCCTGTCGGTGTTTCGTGCATGGCGAATGGGGCAACGACGCAAGCAGGCAGCTCCAGCCGTAGTGGTGCACTGCAAACATCAATCGTTGCGCCAATTCGTTGAAGCGCGAAGGCACATGCTTGAAACAGTTTGATTTTTTTGGCGAAGCCGGAGGGTTAGCGCTCGAGAAAACAGGTTTGGCACATGAGTGCCATCGAACTATGAGGCCGGGCCAGTCTTTCTTGAGGCGATCTGGAGAAATTGATATCTACAGTATGTTTTTGAGCATTTCGTATTCTCCTTTCTTGGTTGTTGGGGTTTTACACTGTTGCGAGTGAGTGGCGCAGCTCCGCAAACATGACCAGCGGCGCAGGTCTACTTCGGTGATGGTCGGACAGCCGCTGTCGTGGATCACGATCCAGTACATGGTTGCGGAGGCGCAGTACGGAGGCGCGGCCCTGCCGCAATTGAAGGGAGAGGTCGTCCAGGAGGGGTCTGATGGGAAGAGGGGATGGTGGTACAGTGTAGCCAACCAATAGGTCGTCTCATAGAAGGGTATTTGTAGCAGAAGTCGTAGCGGTAACGGTGAAATTGCAAGGTGTCTGAGTACAGTTGAGATTACAGGACATATGTTGGTGCTGATGATGACGGCAGCGACGACAAACATGACGCATATGATGACGATGATGGTGATGATTCGAATTACGATGACGATGGCGATGCAGATGATGATGATACTGTTGCTGATGATAATGATGCTGCTGATACTGATGCTGATAATGATGATGATCCTGCTGATGATGATGCTGATGATGATGCTGATGATGACGACGATTATGATGATGATGCTGCTGATGATGCTGATGACTATGATGATGCTGATGGTGCTGATGCTGATGATGATACTGATGAAGACGATGATGATGATGCTGACGCTGATGCTGCTGATACTGATTGTGATGATCATGATGATGATGATGATGATTCTGCTGATGCTGATGATGATGCTGCTGCTGATTATGATGATGCTGATGCTGATGCTGATGGAGATGATGCTGTTGATGATGTGATGATGATGATGATGATGATGATGATGATGATGATGATGATGATGATGATGATACTGATGATGCTGCTGCTGCTGATGCTGATGATACTGATGATGATGGTGCTGCTGCTGTTGATGATGATGCTGCTGATGATGATGACGATGATGATGATGATGATGATGATGATGATGATGATGATGATGATGATGATGATGATGATGATGATGATGATGATGATGATGATGATGATGATGATGATGATGATGATGATGATGCTGATGATGATGATGATGATGATGATGATGATGATGATGATGATGATGATGATGATGATGATGATGATGATGATGATGATGATGATGATGATGATGATGATGATGATGATGATGATGATGATGATGATGATGATGATGATGATGATGATGATGATGATGATGAGTCATATTCTGATGATAATCCAACTGCCTCCGGCAAGTCCGCCACCGTGCCAGCACAGCATTCTGGGCGGCAATCACTCGAGAAGGCAAGGGGGCCTGCTGGGGTCCTCTCTTGGCAGAAGGCTCGACTTCAGGGTTCGTGCTCCCACTCTTTGGGCCCCTCTTGGGGCCGTCTTGGGGCTCTCTTGGGCAGTCGTGGGCGCCTGTTGGGCCGTCTTGGCGTCCTCTTGCCTTGGGGTTTCTGGGGCCGTCTCGGGGGAGTCTTGGGGGCCTAGGTCGTCTCGGAGCGTCGGAAGCTCGAACAACGAAAACCTTGAAAACATTGAAACAGCTACGACACATCAATGGCTTTTGCGTCTCGGGGCCCTCTAGGGGACCCCTTGGGGGCCTCTTTTGGTATTTTTCGGGCCTCCTGCCCTTGGGGCAGTCCTGGTAGCCTCTTGGGCCGTCTTGGGGCGTCGGAACCTCGAAAGGAGGCGAACCCGAAACACATTGAAACGCCAACGTACTCCGAAATTTACTTTATAATATAAGGGGGTTGGTCTGAATTGGGGGGTCTGACTTGGGCTGTCTTGGAGGGTTCCGGGGGGTCTGGGCAAAAGGCAGCCCTTCCCTAGCTGGTCTGGGGGGAGGTCTAAAACTGCTCGTCTGGGAGGGATGTGACCTCCTCCTTGCGAAATTTTGAGTAATGAACATGAATAAATATTGCCTCTCGAGGCCCTCTTGGGAAGGCTCTTGGGGCTCTCTTGGGACGCCTCGACGGCCTCGCGGGCCGTCTTGAAGCCATCCTGGACGGTCTTGAGGCCACCGTGGCCCGTCTTGGAGCGATTTTGGGCCGTCTTGGAGGCATCGGGTCTCGGGGGCGCACGTCTGCCGCATTTTGCGAGGGACTGTGGCCTCGGGAAGAGGGGGCGGTGTGCGCGGCGAAGTGCGACTGGCCGAGGAGGGGGGGGGGTTCTAGAAATCGGCAGAAACCCGACCGGGCGGACCTTGGCATTCTTCGACGCCTCAACGTGCACACGTGGCGGATGCTGTGCAGATGATGATAATGATGTCAGGGAGAAATGCACTATGAATAGGAGGAGGATGATCATGTGAAGGAGGACCTGAAACGACCCCCCCCGTCCCGCCCCGATTCTCTCCGCTATCGTCAATCGTAGTCTCCGCCGAAGACCTCGCTGACATTCTCACCCTCATCCATGCCCCCAACTGTGCAATGTGAGCTGCCCCCCTGGAAGAAGACACGAGGAACGAGAACTAATGTATTCTCTCGCCCATCGCCTTTGCAGTATCCATCATCCTAGTCCAAGCCCTCGCGGAACTCCTCGCTGCACTCCATGCCACCCCGACCAGTCTCGTGCTCCAAATGAGCTGTCACCGCTTCCTCAAGCATAAGCAGGAGTAAGAGTAGAAAGAGCGGAAATTGGAGCCTTTACCAAACTCCCGCCTTGGTGTCAGAGTCATACACCTCTGCACTTCGCCAGTTCGCTCCCTCCCTGCCCATCTATCCTCCACGATCCCCCTCTTCCCTGCTAATGTACCGAGCGAGGCAGCCGCCAAAGAAGGCGAAGTGATGAAGCTTATCAGGAAGAGGTTGATGATGATGATGATGATGATGATGATGATGATGATGATGATGATGATGATGATGTTGATGATGATGATGAGGAGGAGGATGAATCCGTGCAGGAGGAAGATATACGAATCAGGATGAGACAGGATAGGGAGGACGCGGGTTGGAGGAGGAGGAGGAGGAGGAGGAGGAGGAGGAGGATGTGGAGGCGGAGTCTCACAGCAATGCCGATGGAGATCGTCACTATTGGGCCCACTGATTGCATGCACGTCCTCAGTCCTTGGAGGCTGTCTTGCGTCAGGGGCGTAAGCTGCGGTCTTGCAATTCGTTTACGCCATCCAGCAGCTGCTGTGATCAATCTAGAAATCAGTCCAAGGCGTCGGCGGGTTCCATGCGACACGTGGCTGCAGAAGCGGGGACGGAAACGCGAGGGCGACATACTCAAATTTCGTGGCTGGCAGGGTCAAGCGCCCGTCTTGTATTCTTGTTGTTAAGGTGCAACAGGAGCGTCGGGGATTTGGTGCTTTCATTTGTCCGTCTTCAGCCATGAGTAGGTCGACTTCGCCACACCCTAGGGATTTTTTACAGCCTGGATTGCATGCCCTTGCCCGCAGCTTTCCTTACCTTGCTGGATTTGGCGCTGATGTGTCAGCGTTGGGCCTTCAGCTCAGCTAGCATACTACATGCGTGCTAGTTGTGCTCAGGGAGTAATGCACTCATTTGAGCACTCTGCTTTCGCGCAGCATCATCAGCTGCGTCCGTGGAATCATGCTAGTTCCCGTGCCGTCTCGTAGAGCTGTTCACCTGCAATTTGGCAGTCTCGCGAGTGAAGTGTTTGTCCTGGTCGTGTCATGCCCGTCTACCCGACGGGTGGTCCAGCCCCATTCCCCCTGGAGTGTGAAGATGTGCCTGCCCGCCTTAGAGTCCTGTCGAACGACAGGCACACGCGCAGGCAGTCACGTGGAGTATGGCAGAGTGCATCTGTACAGTCATGATGATGGTTCAGGACGATGAGCAGCAACAGCAGGAACAGGGTAAGAGAGGGAAACCTAACATCAAGGGGGGAACGGCCCGCGCCATCAAACAACTGTGCTGTGCTACCCGCGATATGGGTGTGCGCTCATGCGTTCGTCGCACACGGGCTGTCCTCCAAGATGGATTACACCCCGCCAAGCAGATGGATGGCTACGGGCGCAACAGCGGAAACACGTGCTCTTTATCAATTGTCATTCGAGGGCGGGGGAGAAAGGGTGGCCAGGGGATGATGTAGTATTGAGGAGGGAGAGAGTACATCTGTGGACAGCAGATCCTTTCAGCTCTAGGCGGCCAGGGGCGTTCCTCTTTTTCAGTAGCAGGGTACCCGCAGGCAGAATCACAGACGATTTGGACCGCGAGCTCTTCAACACTTACACGCAGAAGTGGTCGCCGACGGGAAAGGGATTTGACCGCACCCCGCTGAGAGACTCCAATCAGCATGTGTAACGCCCTGCGCGATACGGCACTGCACTGTACCACGGCACGCCACGGCACAGCACGACACCACTACACGGCACGGTGCGCCGCGGCACGCTGACGTTTACCGGTTGAGAGTGCGGCACCGCGCGGCGCGACGCAGCCCCGCACATGCCACCCTCCCCGACGACATGACAGCACGAAACGACACGGGACGGCACACCACGCCCGACGAACTCTTGAGCGGGGATTGTGGTAAGGCTTCGGGTAGGGCACAGACATCCCCCGAGGCTCCCAGCTGGCCTCAGCAGGCCCCAGAGCAGTCCCAGCAGGCCTCAACAGGCCCGCCGCGTACTCAACACCCTGGCGCCGCCTCCAGTGGCGCCCCTGGGGCGCTCCGCCCCCGAGGGTTGGGGTGTTGAGACCGCCCCGGACTATTCGGGGGGCCCTGTTGAGGCCGGCTGGGACCTTTCGGGGCCTGTTGAGGCTAGCTGGGGCCACCTGGAGTGGCTGTCTGCTCGCAGCCCGAAGCCTCACCAGGGCCTGCCACGCGACGCAGCACAGCGCGACACGCCCGGCGGAGCCCAGAGTTGGAAGAGCGACGCGGCATGGCACGCCCGACGGAATCGGAGGGGTGCGACACGACACGGCGCTGCTCAGCGCGGCACGCCCGTCGGAGTTACGAGCACGAGCTGAGACCGCGTCACGACTTAGCACCGCACAGTTCGGCTTGCCCGACGGAGTCCCATGTCGGGGACACTACGACACGGCCCGCTGGACAGATCTGCGAGCTGGGAGCATGCTTTGACACCGCGCAGCATTTCACGGCACGCACGGCACACCCGGCGGAATTGCGATTCGAGAGCACACCCCGGTACGGCCCTGCATAGAACGGCGCGGGACGGTCGATATAGCTACGAGGGACATGACATGAGGCTTGCCCTGGTGGGCATGAAGGACAGTCGGGGGCTCGGATTTTCAGATCGCGCTGCATCTTGGAATTCCTCTGACCTCCTGGTCCTAGGCCCTTATCTTGAGGATAGGAGCGGGCGGGGCCTGACCCCTCCCCTCGCCTCGGCCCAGGCCCCTCGCCCCCCCCCGCCCAGATAGTCTTCTCGGCCTTCATGCACCGCCCTCGCTCAAACCGTGCTCGTCGGGAGGTTCTGCGACGAGATCTTCAAGCCCTCGTTCACCTTCAACAACTACCAGTCGGAGACCCGGGCCCTCACCGCCGCTGCCCTTGCCTCTTGCTCCCCGAGCTGACCGAGGGCCCCAGCGGCGACGCGGGGAGTCTTCCCCTCCTCGAGGAGGAGGAGGAGGAGGAGGTTGAGGAGGAGGACGAGGAGGGGAGGAGACGGAGGAGACGGGGGAATGGGAGTGGGAATGGGACCAAGGACGATGTCATATCCTCAGAGTAACTTTCACGGGCTTTCGGGCAGAAAGCCCCTAACCCAAACAACAGAAGAATGAGGAGCGCCTCCAGCGCCCGAAAGCAAAGCCGCTGACCGCGGGGAAGCGCCGCATGTTGAGGATGGCCGCCGCGAGAAGGTGTTGTCAAGCCATGCCCGCCGCCCGCTGCACGCCCCCACGTGCACACGCAGGGCCACCAGAGCACAGACCGGACCCGCCGAGCATGGTGCGCGACGCCTGGGCGTTGCTGTACTTACGTCGTTGCAGAGCGGACGAGAGGGCACCCGGCTGACAGAGCGAATTTTTCGATTGTGCGAGCGAACCTTCGGGCGAGTGCGAGAAAAAAACACACATTCATTCGAAAGGGCTAGTGCTGTGATGTTGCTGAGGAGGGCCTTCGATTGCCAGCAGGCGACCCAAAGTGCAGTAACGTCAAACATCGCAACCATAATGTCGCGATCAGACTTACGCGCGAAGCACATCAGTATTTGGGCAGACTTCCCTCGATAGCATCACTGCGAACAAGCTCTTGTCCAGACCTACGCATGAAGACGCTGCATGCGTGCCTCGAATGTCGCCGCAGATGCTGCCGAGGTAAAGCCAGACCAGATCTTCGCAGAAGGAACACGTATCCGACCATATCTACGCTGAATAGCAGATTGCGAACGTATCCTGACCAAACATACGCATGAAGGCGCTGCGTGCGTGACTGGGACGTGCACCGCAGAAGCCGACGAGGTAAAACTTGACCAGACCTACGCACGAAGCAACACAAACATCTGACCAGAGCTTCGCTCAATAGCAACACTGCGAAATCACCTGACCAGACCTACGCATGAAGGCGCTGCATGTGTGACCCGGATCTGCACCACAGGTGCTGCCGACGAGGTAACACTTGACCAAACCTACACACGAAGCAACACAAGTAGATGACCAGACCTACGCCCCACAGCAACACTACGAACAGCACCTGGCCAGAGCTGCTCATAACAAAAATAGCTGCATGCGTGGTCCGGGATGTGCACCGCAGATGCTACCCATCCGAAGCCTGAACACGCCTACGCAAGACGTAAGCTAAGTATCTGAGCAGATATATTATCCATACAGTCGGACCGAGGTATACGATCGAGGTCGGTTCGGGGAGGGTACCCTCGTGCTTTTCGTGCTTGTTGGACCTTCTTGTGCGTCCTGGGGAGGATACCCTTGACTATTCTGTATGTTCTGGCCGACGGAGCGTCTCATGTTCTTGAAGGCGGTTCTTCTGGCCTAGGTCCGATTGTAGTAACACTGCGGAAAGCTCCCGACCATACCTACACATTACGGCGCACCCGTACCAAAGGATCTGACCATACCCGCGCACGCCCCGACAAAAAATGATGGCTAGACCCGCGCACAAGGGCAGATCAGAGCTGCTGACCGCGGTCGCTTCCCCGACCAACGGCGCTCAGCTCCTCGCGGCCCCGCCCTGGAATTCGACCTTCCTGGCCGTCAGAGGCCGCCACGGCGGAGGAAGGGAGGGAGGAGGAGAGGGGGGAGGAGGAGGTGTTGAAAGAGGAGAGGGAGGTATGGGAAGGGGTGATGAGGTGTTGAAGGAGCAGGCAGGGTGGAACAAGAAAGGAGGGGGGATGAGCGGGGCGGACGGAGGAGGAGGAGGAGGAGGAGGAGGAGGGGGAGGAGGAGGAGGGAGGAGGAGGAGGAGGAGGGAGGAGGAGGAGGAGGAGGAGGGAGGAGGAGGAGGAGGAGGAGGAGGAGGAGGGAGGAGGAGGAGGAGGAGAGAGGAGGAGGAGGAGGAGGAGGAGGAGGAGGAGGAGGAGAGGAGGAGGAGGAGGAGGAGGAGGAGGAGGAGGAGAGGAGGAGGAGGAGGAGGAGGAGGAGGAGGAGGAGGAGGAGGAGGAGGAGGAGGAGGAGGAGGAGGAAGGAGGAGGAGGAGGAGGAGGAGGAGGGAGGGAGAGGAGGAGGAGGAGGAGGAGGAGGAGGAGGAGGAGGGGAGGAGGAGGAGGAGGGAGGAGGAGGGGAGGGGGAGGAGGGGAGGAGGAGGAGGAGGAGGAGGAGGAGGAGGAGGGAGGGAGGAGGAGGAGGAGGAGGAGGAGGAGGAGGGAGGAGGGAGGAGGAGGAGGAGGAGGAGGAGGAGGAGGAGGAGGAGAGAGGCGGGAGGGGGAGGGGAAGAGGGAGGGGGAGGGGGCGGAGGAGGAGGAGGAGGAGGGATGGCCAGAGCACCCTGGATGCATCGACGTTGCTGCAGGAAGTTTTCCAGTGCCAAGCTTCCTCCCCACTGTGCCCCTGCTGGCATGGCTCTTCACTGCGTGCGGCGCCCCGTGGAAAGCCGAGCGCCCCGGGGGGCGCGCCAGTCGGGCACGAGACCAGCTCGAACAGCTGCAGGAACAGGGGGCACGAGGCGCGAGGAGCGTGTCCAGCGACAGCCCCCGTTTATACTAGAAAGGAGCCGCCCTCCAGACTTGCCGTTCCTAGAAGTGCTTGAGGCGAGCGTGTGCGGCGCTCTGGCGAGGACCACATGTTGTAACCACAGGGCCTTCGTTCGGGAGCCCCCAAACGGGGTGGTGACCACACCGTGTGGCGAGTCGGTGGGGATTCGGGGTCGCCGCACGGTTTTGGGACCCGAGTCCCTCTCCGAGGATGTCTCGGGCGACAGGGGCCTCCGGGGTCCCAAGACCGTGCGGTGACGGACCGTGCGGTGAGGTCTTTTGGGGTTCCGAGGTCACCGCACGGTCTCTCACCGACTCACCACACGGTTTTGGGATCCCCAATACATCCTTGTAGCAGTTGGAAGCGCTTTGAGGCGGATGTGCGCGGCGTTGAGGCGAGAGCCACGTGATTTGACCACCCGGTCTCCGTCCTTCTAACTGCTGGAAGCACCCAGGACGAAAGTTCGCGGCGCCAAGGCGGGAGCCCCATTTTGAAAACCATCCCGCTTCCATTCGGGGTTTCAGTTTCGGGGTCGTAAGCGGTGGGGAAGTGAGTGTCCAGCGAAACGCCTCGCTTGCCCTACCCGCACTTGGTGGTGCGACGAGACGGAGTTACTGAGATGGAAGAGGGATGGAGAGGGACGAGGAGGAGGAGGAGAAGGAGGAGGAAGAGGAGGATACCACTGCCAATGGTTGCGAGGGAGGGTGAGGCGGAGGAGGAGGTGGAGGGAGGAAGATGAGGGTGAGGATGATGAGGTAGATGTAAGTGATGATGCTGCTGATGAGGATGGTGACGATGATGATGCTGATGATGCTGATGATGCCGATGCTGATGATGTTGATGATGCTGATGATGCTTAGGGGGATGGTGATCATGATGATGATGGTGATGATGTTGATGCTGATGCTGCTGCTGCTGATGATGATGATGATGACGACGACGGGGGACACCGCCCAGAACATGGAATCTCGAGCTTTGCGTGGGTAGTCAAAGGGTGGGTCAATGATCACGGACCACTTACCCTTGCACTCGGAGGCTCATTTCAATCTTACGGTGCGGGCAGCAGTTTAGAGGTAGGAGCCAAGGTCTCGACAAAGTTGCGGAGGTATGCTCGGGAATTATCAGTCGTATTGTCAATACTATCAGTACTAGCCGGAGGCGTTCAGCAAGTAGCGGTAACAAGCGCGCCAAGGTTTTCGAAGCCTTGGTGAAGGAGGGAGGTGGCAAGTCCCAGGGCAGGCTCGGTGAGATTGACCTCAATGCCGATTGAAACAGCAACATAAGAGATGATGATGATGCTGATGATGATGATGATGATGATGATGCTGATGATGTTGATCATGATGATGATGATGGTGGTGGTGATGATGCTGATGCTTCTGATGATGATGTCGATGCTGCTGATGATGATGCTGCTGATGATGCTGATGCTGATGATGATGCTGGTGCCGACGATGCTGCTGATGATGATGCTGGTGATGATGGTGATGATGACGATGATGATAATGATGCTGATCCTGATGATGCTGATGACGATAATGTTATTGATGATGACGATTACGACGACGATACTTATGATGATAATGAGGATGCTGCTGATAATGGTGCTGATGCTGACGATGATGATGATGATGCTGATGCTGATGCTGGTCATGATGCAGTTGAAAACACTGATGCTGATGATGATGTTGCTGATGATGACGCTGATGATTATGACGACTATTATGATGGTGATTATGATGGTGATGCTGTTGATGATGCTGCTGCTGATGATGATGCTGATGAGGACGAGGCTGCTGATGATGATGCTGATGAGGGCGATTATGAGGATGAGGATGCTTGATGAGATAATGTGTTGATTAGCAACAAGATCTCTTTTCATCTTGAGCCAAAATAGGTACACGGAGGAGGGTGTCAGAATCACTCCTCCTCGGGCCTGGCCGCCAACCCGGCCAGGCACGACATACGTCGTACGCGGGCGCGTCCAAGCCGACACGCCCATCTCCACGTCACACGCGGGCGCGTCCAAGCCGACGCGCCCATCTCGTCAGCCAGGCTGCGGCCATGCCGCGAGCCCCTCACTTCACCCGTCCGGTGCGATCATACCGCCACCGGCGGAAACTCATCCAGCCCCACAGGTAGCGGAGCATGGATTCGATCCACTCCTTCACTTGATATCCTTCTGGGTCGAACTCGGTGCCCGATCCCAGATGTTGAGCGTCGCCATGTGTCTCCTCAAGAGAGATCCACCCACGCTCTTGGTCAGCACGTCCGCGACATTGTTCTTACCAGGAACCGCGGCGATCGAGAGGTCGCCCTTGCCCACGCGCTCCTGGATCCACAGGTATCGGGATTGAACATGTCGCATCTTCCCGAGACCTCGCCGTTGGACGTGGCCCCGGGCCGCCGATGAGTCTGAGGCGAGCTCCACCTTCAGGTCCAGCCCCCAATCTGCGAAGAGGCTGTGTAGACCCAGGCCCACGCTCCCGCCCTTCACCAGGGCGTAGTACTCGCTCTCCCCACTGCTCAGAGAGACCGTCGACTGAAGATTACTGCCGTGCTTGATGACGTGATGCCCCAGCAT